CTCGCCGTCGCCCCCGCCGCCCTCAGCATCGCCCTCGCCGCCACCGCCGTCCACCTCACCGTCACCGCCGCCTCCCTACACCTCGCCATCGCCGCCGCCTCCGTCCGCGTCGCCCTCGCCGCCGCCGCCGTCCGCATCGCCCTCGCCGCCGCCTCCCTCCGCCTCGCCCTCGCCGCCGCCTCCGTCCGCCTCGCCGTCGCCGCCGCCTCCATCGGCTTCGCCATCGCCGCCGCCGCCCTCAGCATCGCCGTCGCCGCCACCGCCGTCCGCCTCACCGTTGCCGCCGCCTCCCTCCGCCTCGCCCTCGCCGCCGCCTCCGTCCGCCTCGCCGTCGCCGCCGCCTCCCTCGGCTTCGCCATCGCCGCCGCCGCCCTCAGCATCGCCGTCGCCGCCACCGCCGTCCGCCTCGCCCTCGCCACCGCCTCGCTCCACCTCGCCATCGCCGCCGCCTCCGTCCGTGTCGCCCTCGCCGCCGCCTCCCTCGGCATCGCCGTCACCGCCCCCTCCCTCCGCCTCGCCGTCGCCGCCGCCGCCGTCCGCGTCGCCCTCGCCACCGCCGCCCTCCGCCTCGCCCTCGCCGCCGCCTCCTTCCGCCTCACCATCTCCGCCGCCTCCCTCCGCCTCGCCCTCGCCGCCGCCGCCCTCCGCCTCGCCCTCGCCACCGCCTCCCTCCACCTCGCCATCGCCGCCGCCGCCGTCCACCTCACCGTCACCACCGCCTCCGTCCGCCTCACCATCGCCGCCGCCGCCGTCCACCTCACCGTCACCGCCCCCTCCCTCCGCCTCGCCGTCGCCGCCACCGCCGTCCGCCTCGCCGTCGCCGCCGCCGCCCTCCGCCTCACCATCGCCGCCGCCTCCCTCCACCTCGCCCTCGCCGCCGCCGCCGTCCGCGTCGCCCTCGCCGCCGCCTCCCTCCACCTCGCCCTCGCCGCCGCCTCCCTCCACCTCGCCATCGCCGCCGCCTCCGTCCGTGTCGCCCTCGCCGCCGCCTCCCTCGGCATCGCCGTCGCCGCCGCCGCCGTCCGCCTCGCCCTCGCCGCCACCGCCCTCCGCCTCGCCCTCGCCGCCGCCTCCCTCCGCCTCGACCTCGCCGCC